TTGCATTTCAACTTTTATCAGCAATCTCATTCTCTGCTTTGCAACAAGAATCCAGCATTGGTCCTAGAGGGGGTCTTCAGATGTTTTACTTTTAAACTAAATGGGTTATGAGGAAAAGTTTACTAGGTTTCATCTTTGTCCCTCAGTATGAATATTATGCCAAAAGGGAAACTGTTTAGGACAATATTTGATGGAGCTTCCATGGACTGGTATGGTCTATCTGAAAACAAAAGAAAAATAATTTTTAACAACTTTTGGCTCTGGAAGCAGTCCAGACACTCTATACATTCCTATGTCAATGTAGATTCCTTCTTTCCAGCTTTTCAAGTTCTCATTCTAGGAAATTATTAGGAAAGAGAAGGTATTAAAGCCCTTAGCAGTTGAAGTATATCATAATGTCTTCATCTAAGTAGAAATGTGATGAACAGTCCAAGTTTTGTCTCAGGGCTGCTTGCATTCACCCATACCCTTTCACAGCAGGAGGGCCTGCTATTTGGGTATCCATTTCTACAATTACGCTAATCTCTCATGATTTGTCTTCCTTATGGTAGTAAGAATCAGCCTAGCAGCTTCATCTTACACTGCATGATCAGGTAATTAATTCTAACAAGGCTCAAGGATCACTACCAAGGTGATCGACTGGATCTGGGACTCAGCCACTCTCTGCACTGTGAGGCAAAATTAATCTTTTGCAGATCTCTTGGGATATTGTTTTCACAGGTAAGGCCTCCCAAAGCAGCAAATCCACTTCCTGTCTGGCCGTTGAAGGGGTGGAGACCACTATTGGATCAAGCCATCCTGAAGCTCAGTCAATGATTTGTTGACCTCCAGCTAGTCTATGCCCAATATCAAAACCTCCCCCCAGGAGAGAAGGTTTGCATGCTCCATGTGTGGAAGTTGGAACCTGATGCTTTCCTGCTGGTGGCTGCAATTGAGGAAGCTGCAGGAGCAGACCCAAGAGTGCCCAGTGACATCAATGTAAATAAAAACAATAACAGACTTGGCACTACTGGGCATAGATGTATGGGGGGGGGGGATGTAATAGACCCTGGCTACCAAGGAGTGCTTCTCCACCTAGACCTAGAGAGACCTGAAACGAACCTCACAGCAGGAGAGAGAGTGGTGCAACTGATCCTGCACGTAATCACCTTCCCTCATGTGACAAAGGGAAACCCCTGCAAAGAGTAAAGGAAAAGGGAAAGACAATTTGAGGCCACAGGAGCAAAAGTGTGGGTGAAGGGAGGCACTGAATAATTGAAAGCAAGTAAAGTATTCTGCCGTGGTGGAAAAAAAAAAGTCACATCTCTAATTAGAAGACTCCCCTACAAGAGTGGCTAACGATTGTCCTTTTGTTCGGTAGACTTCAATAGGAACTCACAAGGAGAATTGCAGTCAACCTCAGGAGGAGTCTTCCAAGCTCTTGAGTTGAGGCCTTGAGTTGAATCTGTTTAAAACAAGGATGCCTGTGCTAGCTGAAAATGTTTGCCTCTTCCTCCTGCTGACTGCTGCATATACTGACATTTCAACTACCAGATTGCCATCGCTGAACAGCAGTATAACTGTTGGGTCTACACACCCATGCCTCATAACTGGCAGGAAGATTCCCTGTCTATGCAAAGCCACTGAATGACTCTAAAATTTGTGACTATTTTGACTTTGTGAGAGAGCAGGTGTGAACTCAGCACTCTCTAATAATCAACTAAACTCTAAATGTACTTCTGTTGTTGACGTGTCTACAATATATACAATGGGCAGGTAAAACTCCTCAAGTGAAACTCAGGGCATCCTGCGGAAGACTGGGAGTGCAGACTGTAAGAGATAGCTTGCAGGGGTGGGTTGCCCTGTATTCAACCACCTAAGCCGTTTTCTTTCGCCCCCCTGAAGGCATATGCTGTTTTAATTTGGTTGATAATTCCAGGTTAATAGAAGGAAATATAACAGGATTTTAAAACTTTGATTCACAAAATTAGCTACAGTCAGGGCTGCTTTGATTTGATCAAAAATACGAATTTGAGTCACATAATGATGTGTAACTACAAAATTCCCTAGCTGATTGTGCATAAAATATTCTATTTTTGCCCAAAAAAAAAAAGGAGGGATTGTGAGAAGGAAATCAAATTCTCCCCCCCCCCTGCAATGTCAGCAGGAAGTCAAAGGTTCCCATTTGTCCCATTCTATCATCACTTACCTTAAACAGCAATTGAAGCATATGGCTAAATTATAGTAAGAATGGGCACACCTAAAAAGATTAA